ACTGCTGCTATTCACTGTGCTGTTTTTGACTGTCTTTTTCACTGTTTTTGGACTTCACCAAATACACCTCTATGCATCAAATGTCCCTCTATCGACAAGTCTTCTATCCACTTTCTGCTGCTGCTGCTGCTGTTGCTGCTACTCCTCCCTTTTTTTTTTTCATCGTTCGTTTTTCGACCATCAAAAAATCAGGATTACCACCAGCAACAGCAACAGAAAATACAAAGAAAAAATTTTTTTTATTTTAAAGAAAACTTGCGTGATAAATGCTCAGGTACCTTCCCTGCCCACTTTTCAAAATGAATATTTAAGCCGCGCAACAAACAACGTCAAATCATTCGAGCCATTCAGTGGAGCTTCGCATCGGTTTTTGCTCACTTTATTAGGTAATTAATTTTCTTCACAAACGATCAACAATTTCAACTTTTATTCATATGTTGGATACCACTTTTTTTCTTCTGTTTCTCAGCTAGTATAAGTGGACGACAGCTAACAATTTTAGAATCTTCGTTGCTTATCTTCAGCTCTTCCCTCGTCATTTATTGACCTTCAAAAAAAAAAGCTTTTACCTATATGTCGAACAATTAGCGTACTGTAATCAAGGTCTTAAATCTCGTCAAAGCTTAAATTCTTTTCCTTACTAGCACTAAAATTTGTTCGCTTCTATCTTCGTCTTATAGATATAATTTTTAGACTGATTTTTTATTGTTGTTTCAAGTATATTGCAAAATTACTAGTTCACTGTTTGGCTAACCTTTGCTGATCAGTCTCTTGTTTCACTTAACAACATGGAAAGAAAGTGCTGGGGTAATTTAATTGTTCAGTTTTTTACTTTTGATATTGCTCCATGTTTTTTTCTTGATTTCTTCTATCTTTTTTTTTATTCTTACTTAATGAACAAATTTCTACCTTACTAAGTTCCCATCTAATCAGTTAAGTGTCTCTTAAAAAAAAATCTGTACTCTCAAAATTTAACTAATTAATAGCTAATAGCTGTTATTTTCTTCCACTCTTCTTTTATCTTTATATTATCATTTTCTACATATGGACGTAACACTTCTACCATGACATAGTGTTCAGCCATATTTTTTAGTGTTTATTATTGCATTTATTTCTTTTCTTTGATTATGGTGCACTAAAAAGTAAAAGTTCCTGTAAACTTTAGCTCGAAACCATGACTTACGAAGCGGATCCCAAGCAGAAGCTCTATGAAGCCGAAAGGCTAAAAACAACGGCGTTCTTTAGTATTGCGATCTCAACAGTTGCAACACTGACAGCAATCATTGTTGTCCCAATGCTTTACAACTATGTACAACATGTACAAGCCCCACTTCAAGATGAAGTTAACTTCTGTGTTCATCGAACAGAGACCCTTTGGGAACAGTACGCAAAAGTAAGAAAGGACTCAAAATTCTATTTTTTTTTTTTTTTTTTTTTTTTTTTTTTT